CCCCGAAATAGTTCACGCATACACTTTTCACGCGAACCGAGGTTCACCGGCCCGAAAGCAGGGGGGGTGTGCGTGAACCTCGGTTCGCGTGAAAAGTGTATGCGTGAACTATTTCGGGGCTACCGCACCTCCCCTGAAAGCACGGGGGGGGGTGTGCGTGAACCTCGGTTCGCGTGAAAAGAGTATGCGTGAACTATTTCGGGGCTACCGCACCTCCCCCAAAAGCAAGGGGGGTGTGCGTGAACCTCGGTTCGCGTGGAAAGTGTATGCGTGAACTTTTCATGCGTGGAAAGTTAATATGCGAGATGCCACATGAGTTAGATGACACGCTTTAAACAGTTAAATACTTTTCAAGCGCGTCATCTAACCTACGTATTTTCCAAACTTTTTTTGTTAATAACTTTTTAACGAATAACGAGCGACGGCTAAAACCTTCTGAAGGTCACTCGGGGTCATGAACTTGACAACATATATCAAGGTCAATGAAATCGGTAAGGTCGCCCTTAATCTAGACATTTATCAAAAATAAAGTAAAAATAGGTAAAAAAATAGGTAGGGTGCATATTTTTCGGGCTCCCCCGATTGATTATCACTGTCGGAGTCACAACAAAGGTTTTTACCAAGAAAACCGCAAGAAAACATCAAAATTCGGAAAAGGCCCTATTCTGAAGATTTACCATAAAATTATCTAGATGGTCATCCAGATCAAGAAATAGAATCATCTTTATCTTATCTAGGTAAAAAAAATACAAAATAAATTCACCTTCATCTTAGATAAAAAAATTATGTTATCTTTATTAATTTTCCTCGTTAATCATATGCCGTAAGAAAATCTTTGGAATCAAAGAAACGGAAGCAAGCATGCAACTCTTTGAAGAGTGGAGGTTTCCTACGACAATACACCTTGCGCTTATCACCGCCGCGACAATCTACGATCATTTTGTCTTCATCGTTCTGATTTCAGAAAATGCGCTCCGCGGCCGTGTGCATCGCCTTCGTCTTGACGTACACGAGCGGGTCGTTTGTCGCGGGTTTGCGATACATCGATCCGCAGGCGGGAAGTAACGGCGACATCGGCGACAAACGATTGGACCTGACCGAGCCGTCGTGCGACGAGCTGCGCGCCATGTGGAGGTACACGAAGAGGCAGAGCAGAGCCGCTAAAACCACCAACGGATATCCCATGTACTCGTTCAATCCCAATATATGGCCGCGTACCGCAGTGTTTCCCGATCGCATTAAATTATCCAGAGGATACACGCGAGGTAAGAGCCTTACGTTTGCTTCGTTACACGAAGCCGCGACGAAACTTAGGCGAGATCTTTCTAAAAATTCGGAGATTCGCCTTTGCCGTCCGGGGACAGAATATAGAAAATGATATAGAGATGATTTCTTTAAACGTAAGATAAAAAATTTGCAAAAATAAAAAAAAAATTGATTGGCTTTGCGCAGATATTGTCGCTCCTACACGATTGAAATTGCGAGAAGAGTTGGAAGGTAAGCAAATTTTTTGTATAATTTTTCAATTTTTATGTGTATGTGTCGCTTGTTGAATGTAAAATTGCGTACAAAACGATTTCAAAGGTAATTAAGTATTATTCCTCGTAAGATCGCTTGTTTGTCGGGCTCGACTTGATGAAAATACATACGCTATTGACAGTAATAATTAAGACGCAAATCTTGCGCGAATCGATGTATCTTTCTCGACATAAAAAAAGCGCCGTGTAGTTGGGAAGGGGGAGGGGGAGGGGGTGAAACGGGCGGATGTAAGGGAAGAAACGCGTGCGTTTTATCGATTTTATGCATCGAGTGGTGCATCGTAGCCCACTAGAGTTACAGCGCAAACCTGCACCCAGGCAGGCTGGCAATACCATCTTGCAAATACGCGACGCACATGTGGGTCAAGCGCGCCCACGTATATATGCGTCAGGCACTTACGCTAACGAGTGTACGCTACGATTCAGGCTAATTATCGGGGGAATGTTGGTTACCTATCGCTTTGAAGCGCGAATAGCATCGCAGGCTCGATTCGTAGGCGCTTTGACCGCGTCTAAATCCGATTGCCCTCGTGCAAAGCAAACGCGCAATTAACACACATCGCGCTCGAATTATTTAATTCCTCCTCTGTGCGATTTTTAGTTAAATCAAAAAATTGGTCTTTTCAATCATAGTTAAAATGCAAAGATAAATAACAAACTTATTTAATTTCAGCAACGACTCCTAAGGGACCACAAAATCTTGACAGGAGTAAACATTAGATAAAAGGGGAGTTGTAAAAAGTTGTAAATTAATAAGAGTATGAATTTTTTGTTATGTATGTATGTCTGTTAAGTACATTTAACAATATCTTGGTATTAAAAAAATGGGATTTTATGATGAATATTAACATCACTGTGTGCATTTCAATTCTGTTCTGCGAAAGAATCTTGCTTGAATGCTAACTATACTTCACAGGAAAGAAAGAATATTTTTATTTAAAGAATATCTTTATTTTTTACATGTAAATCTTAAAATGCACGGAGAGAATTTTCTCTTAAAATTTACCCTGAAGTTACGGTAGTTGTGAGACAACATGTACCACCAAGAATTTTATGCGAGCTATTCTGAAATATCTACCATAATAAAAAATATTAATATCTATTACATTAAAATATAAAATATGTTTGATTAATTTTACTAAAATATATCTAGGAAAGGGCATAGGGGATAAGCATGTAAAAATTGCCCCCGCAAGTATAAAGTTGATATTGGCGTCGTAAGTTAGTACCCATGTACCTTGAACTCCTGCAAATATTGACTTTGAAATTATATTTTTGAAGGAGTTATGGAGGAAGAAAGAAAAAGAAACAAAAAATTTTTTTCTCGAAAACGGCTCGATCAATTTTTATGAAAAAAATATATGTTGTAGGTATCAATAATGATGTTTAAAAGAAAATATTTTGTAATTTTTGAACAAATAATAGAGCTGAAAAAATTTTTTGAGTTTTTTAAACAATTTTTTTGTTGTGTTTCTTTAGAGTGACACCTTTAATTTTTTTTGCAAAAACATTGTACTAGTATCGATTTTAACATATAATTTTCCTAGATTTTTAAAAAATATAGTTTTGGAATAAAAAAATGAAAATCATGATCGTGTCACCTGATGCTCAAAGTAACGTCTTGTAGCGCCGGTCAAGGCATAAAGGCGCTTTGTTATTGAATGGCATATTTTGTTAGAAAAGCTTTGGCTTATTATTTATTACTTGTTTATCACATTTTTTTAAGGCTTTAATAAAATTTTTTAAATTATTTTATGTGTTTTAAATATGTTTATTTAATAATGGGTATTCTTCTGTTGAATATATACAATGATTTCATTTACATTTCTATAATATTCATTTGACGGAGCAACATTTGGAATCTGAATTTTTACTATCTAGTTGAGTATATTTAAGCTCGAGAAGTATCGTATTTAAATATCGACGGTTGTTCAATCATATATGTATATTTCACAATCACCATACCGTGAATTATTAGTTTAGCAGGTAATTAACTCACTGCGTTTACACAAACGCGAAAACAGAGCTCAAGCTCGATTAACATCTAATTTACACACAAGAGATGTACGCCCCGATGCCACCAACTACGAAATTCGTGACACCTTTTCGCCCACGCGAAACGTCAGCGTCCTTTTCAAAACCCCTTTCATCCGTCGAAGCCCGCAATACACGGGCTTCTTGACCTGACATCACTCATTTCCACCCACGCGGCGAACGCACGTAGTTCACAATGATTTCAATCACGATCGTGATATGTTATGTCGCGTACGACTGTTGTTCCGAAAACGTGTGCCGTTAATTTAAAATAGTTTTCAACTAATTTGTTTTGAGAGAGAAACGTCAACTTTCTTTCCTGTAGGAACCAATTCTGCGAACATTAATTAACCGGTGATTTAACAAGGTCCCTGTCTCTTTCTGAAAACCAAACAAAAGAGCAAAACAATTCCATTTGCCTCAGATAATTTTCAATTAATATTCATGAGATCCCAGATAATAGATAAATATTCCGGCATAAAAGAATACGTTTCCTTAGAAAGCTTTTCTACTCGGCAAGACTCGCATCATAACAAAGCTTAATTAAATAAAATTAAAAATGCTTCTTGCATGTATCTGTCGAACAGTTTATGGCTTTCTTCGCTATGGATTCTTCGCTCTCGCGGCGTTATTGATTTTCACGCAATGAGGGGGACAGTTTTTTGCGTCGCGCAAAATGGCATTTGCAGAAAAGAGACTGATGCAAAGAGGGCCGATAGGCAGAAAGTGAAGAATTATATGTATAATGATAATTCGCAGGGAGACACGCCGGACGACCGCGTAACCGGGCCGCCGGAGGTGCACCGATTTACGGAAGGATGGTGCACAAGGCCCCGGCAGGAAACAGATTGCGAAACGCGATGCGGATGTCGCCTGCGCGTATGAAGATCATCGAGAACCTCTCGCGACATTTCGGGACCGTGAACACAGGCCCGTACACGCCGAACAATCGTCGCACTAGCTTCCGCGTCGGCGGTATCTCGCCGCAAGTTCCTCAAGCCGGTAGTTTCGAAACGCTCAAAAATCTCCTCCAGGCTGAGAGAGCACGTGAATTACAGGTCAGTGTCACCTTAATTGAGTTTTCTTTTAATGCTTCTTGGACACTTATCATCATAAAAATTTGTGTTTAATTTGCTGCTCTCTAAATCTCATAGAGTGATTACGATAGTCACTCCAGAAGAGAGGGTTGTCACTCTAATTTGAGTAAATACGAGCACTCATGAGGTAGGAGTAAATTTTTCACTCAAATTTTTAGAGCGGCTACTCTACCGGAGTGATACAATCTCACTCTAAAAGTCTCTAAAGCTATAGTAAATCACGATTCACTAAAGATCGACTGAAAAACTAAAAGAGTGAAATTTTTCACTCAAAATTGTAGAGTGACATAATTCACTCCTACGGACACTGATCTACTGCACGCGAAAAAAGTGCCCTTTTACTCAAATGGAGTGCGATTTCACTCCAACTTATAGAGCACAATTTTATTCTTTCTTAGAGTGGCGAATCACTCGAAGTACACAGGCTCAATTTTCACTTTTCGTTACACTTGCATTTCACTCGTTTTGAGTGATATTTCACACTTCAACTTTTAAAGAGTATACTTTGTAAAATGACTGGTATGTTAATTATCTCGAAAGATTTTTCGTAGAAACGATATCACTATATCCATAAAGAGAAGATTCAATAATATTATATATCTTATATGAGTTGCATTATATTATCAGGTCGTGTTATCAAAAAAATATTTATTTCTGACCAATTCATTCTTATATTTATTCTTAATACACTATATATATATATGCAAATATCGGTTAAATGATATGTGCTTCAGGAGCAACATTTAGCCGAAGAGATGATAGCGAAAGCCGCCGCTTTCAGAGAGGGTAAAGATCAAATAAACGAAGAGCAACATCTGAAACAACAATCGCGAAAGCAATTCTCCAACCCATCACTCCAATCCACACTTCTAGAAATGACACCAAAAGTCAATTACGATTACAATCAACGCGGGCGTTATAACAACGCGCCTAACATTGGTCAAGCGTGGTCGGTAAGTTCTTTTACCTCTACGTAAAATTTATATAAGAAACTTTCTCAAAGTTTCTCCACCACTCCTTCTTCTAACTTTTCCCAAATCCGACGTTGCAGTAATCTCTAATCTATAGATTCAATTAAGTTTCATTGTGTGTGTAATCACTTCTTTCCAAATTCTCTCTTCCTCTTCTCGAGTTCTAACATACTTAAATCCTGTAGATCGCGCGTAATATTTGATTTCGCATTTACGACTTCTATGTTTCGTCCCCACCATGTCCAAAATCGGAACATAAGACGTCTTAATGATGTCTTAAAGATGTCTTTAAGACATCTTATGTCCCGATTTTGGGCATACATGCTGTATAGATTCTTAAATTAAAACGTTGTTATATCGCATTATTTTACAAATTTATCGCCTTCACAACCTGAGATCGTGTACATTTTCTTTTTCGCAGAGGAGCGGACCTCTTTCGCGAGAATACATGTTACCTTAGTATGCTGCGAACTGTTGCGAGGAAACGATGCAAATCCGAAAACTGCCGCGTGCATACTAGTGTTTGTGACTGCTCTGTAACCGACGACGCAGCTGCAGCCGGTTGCAGCTGTCATCACCGAAGCTGCGACTGCAAGAAAATAAGCGACGACACTCATCTCGAAGATCGCGCGCATTTTGAAGAACCTGTAGCACCTGTATCTTCGCGCGAACCTTTAAATCTTTGTGTCAACGATACGTAAGTGCAAATCAGAAATTTCAATCCAATATCGGCCAATGTCGAGAAATCCTTTCGACATCCAGTTGCGAAAAGGGCGGTCCTCTTCCGCATCGAGAGTTTTAATCCTAAATATGAATTCTAGGAAAGGAAATGTGTATCAGAAACGGATTGAATGTAATCTCTATTGAGTTGAAAGCTTCAAAAAGTTATATTTCCTAAATACATCTGAATATCGCATGCATATCTCTATAACGCAAATAGCATTAAATATGAAATTAAATATTAGATGCATGAAATAAATTTTATTTACATATCGGGTCAAATCATTGACGATGTGCATGCGTTTCTTTCATATATTTGTGCAGTTCGATGTTTCGCAACGGCATCAAAACGAGTAATTTGACATAAAACGGCATGTTTTCGTCGATTTTAAGTTTCTCCGCGTTTAAAATTTGTAAGGTATCAAACATCAGAGAGGAAAAAAGATGAATATTACAGTAGATTTCCTAAAACATACAACAATTGTTTGATCGGAGAAACTCAGAAAAAGCAAACTTCCCCTAAAAGCTACGAATTTTGTTTGCAGTATAAAACCTAAAATTGCAATCTCTCTCTCTCTCTCTCTCTCTCTCTCTCTCTCTCTCTCTCTCTCTCTCTCTCTTAAAATCCGGCTTGTATAGGTCGAAAATGATAGAAATTTGTTCAGTTATTTCAAATAAAATACCTCAATAAGTTTAATTTCACAGAAAAGTGAACTATTCGCCGTTGTTTTTTTTTTGTTTTTTTTTTTTTAATAATAATCTTTTTATATCTTTTGTTAAGTGAGGCGCAGTTTGTTTGAAATATTAAGGTAGTCGTCTCGTCAGGGCATGTATTAGATAAAGTTTTCGATTTCGGTTTTTATATCAAATTATATGATCAGCTTTGCAGTCGATTTTTTCTGTGGCTCCTTACCGACTATTTACTCTAGAAAATCGATCTCGAAAATCACAAATTTTGCATTACTTCATACAGAAAAGAAGGCTCTATCACGGTTTCAATCACATATTTTCGTATTTTTCGATTAGATGAAGTGAGAAAAAAACATTGCTTTTTGTACATTAGATTTCGAAGAATCCGATGCAACCATAAAATATATAGGTTACCGGAGATATTTCGCTGCTAATTTTTTAGTTTATTTTAGTGAAAATGCGGTAATCGAGCAGACATTTTTTGGTCGAGGTGAGGTTGGGAAGACTTGGCAACGCCGCTGGCTAATCACTGTAGTTGCAGGTTATGGGGCTCGTCTTTCTTAGCCGAATTGGATAGTGATTGACACCCCTGTCATGCGTTTTGAAACCCTTTCTCAATAATTGTCAAAATTCAATCAAAAAGAAGATGATAACCTTTCTCGACGACTCGCATGATCAGCTGATCAAAACGGAGTCAAATGAGAAAAATCACATAATTTGGAAAAAGTAACATATACTTTGTCACGTATGAAATTTTACACCATAATTCATAAAATTATTTTTCCCTTAGCAAAAATTGCCTGAAATATATTTCTGAACGTGAAAACCTACAAAGAGTCACATGACTAGCACGTAGCGAGACGCCTACCTTAAATCGGATTTCAAAAGTATGCCGTAGACGCCAGAAAATCACCCGTCGAGTACATTGCGAAAAAACTCGAAAACGCAATGCGATTCAACGCGCAGTTGCATTGACTGAATCATTTATACAGCTTCCACGTGCAGATTTTTAATACTATTCAGGAAAGAAAACGTCACTTGGAGAACATCGGACATTTGATGTTGTTAAGTGAAAAACTGTGGCGCACGTGATAGCAATCGTTCCGTCTAAGATCAGTTTAATTATATAATAAGTTGTTGTATTATATTTTGATTTGTTAATATTGTTTCTACGTTAAATATTTATTATTCAAATAATTTACATAAATATAATGTAAAATTATATTATTTATCATTCTACGATTATTCTAGTTTAATTTTGTAAAATATGCGTTTTATTTTTATTAGTTCGTTGTATTGTGAAAGAGAGATATTCGTTGCATGGTTCGATACTCGATTTAAATACGGCGAAATATTCTCGGGGATGTTTGCATGTAAATGTTTGCAGCTGTGCCAAATAAAATGATCGCATCCCCGCTTCTTTCTAAATATATTTTAAAAAAACGGTACTTGGACAATAAACTAGTAAGACTTATATGTAACAAATTTTGACATTGTACATTAACTTAATGTAAAGCTCTAGTATATTCTTCGATAATCCATCAAGATGAGTATTATATTGTGCCGATGTATATTGGAAACAAAAGACAATAATTATTCTTAAGAAAAGGTTTGTGCGTACAATACTTCTGTGTTCTTAATACGGATACATGATTATATAAATTGTAGTGAAAGAAAAAAGGAAAAAAACGAGGAAAAAGATTATTTCTGATGTCTTATAAAACGAGAATAAGACAAAGGCTTTTTGCGGGTATAATTGATGCTAGTTGTACGTGCAAGCAATGTTACATCTTGACCCTTAAATGTTTAAATAATGTTCGCATGCATGCATAATGCATGGAAGAATAGAAGGGCAACGTAATGAGGACAATATAAATTGTACGTCTTTCAATATTTTACCTATAAAATTTAAAATGTTTAGTAAATTTGCAATTTTGTCATCTCCTAGGCAAGAAATGCAGCACTGTAATAACGAATGTTGAACAAACAATTAAGGGTTAAAAAATGATCATCTTAATGACAATAAATGTAAAAGTTTCTTGTAATCCTATTTTTAAAAAAATTGAAACTGCGTAGGACGACTATTTGTGTGGCTTACTCCGTAGCTCTCATGCTGAGTAATAATCACTTTCAGCTTTTGTAGTTCATACAAAAGACATAAATGCGAAAAAAAGCTGGATATAAGATATAACTATTATACATATAATTTGATATTTAATTGAAGGCCCGCGCTCTGACCGGGAAAACTTTATACTTGTATATTTAAATACTACATATCTATGTACACATATATATTATTACCTACACACACGAACACAAATGCACAAACATATCACATGATACACCCTTTGATCCCCAGTTTCTCTTAAAATTTTTGATGAATTTTAATAAACACTAATCAACACAAGATATTAGCGTTTTTATTGTTTATCATATTAAGATATGTTACGTGCGAATATTTATGGCTATATCCGTTGTCACGGCTGTAATAGATGTGCAGATAATTTATATTTCATTACGTCTTAGCAGAAATTAATTAATGATGTTATTAATTCGAGTAGCAAAGCGAGTGACAAGTTAAGACAAGAGATTAAAAACTTCTAAAAAATAAAATCCAATTGACGTTGTTAAAATAAATATTTGATTTCTTATAAAAACTTAATTTGATACGATTGTTAAAACATATAGTAACAAAAGCTACCGATATGTAGCTAAAGATATAATATTCTTGCAAAAAGATCCTTTTTCATTTCGGCGTTTTTATCTTTTATTTCGGCAAAATAAAGATCTATTACAGTTGTATACCTTTGATAGGATATTTCATATTTATTCTCGCCGGTTACAATTGACACAGTTAAACCGAAAGCTCGTCAATTTTCGCAAATCATTGCTTTTGAATGAAATCTTTAGAACTGAAAGTCAAACATTTAATTCTTGTTTCTTTATACTCCGTAAATCATTATATAGATTAAGATTTTATTGTAATTAAAACAATTTAATTAATTTTTTATTCAACTGTCGTACGAATGTCACGATTATTGAAGAAATTACAAATTATCCAATTGACAAACACGTGAGCTCTCGAACTGACTCTTCGCGCGACATCTTGTTCGTCGTGAGATAGACTTCACACAAGAAAGGCTTCTTCAAGAAAGGCTGTTACTTACAATATATCATAGATTGTTTTAAAATACTGTCGTTAAGGCTGAGGTTCTTAATTGAGACCCAGTGCCTAATATTACAAACTAGAGACTGGTCGAACAATCTCGAGATCAAGATTCGAGCAAGCTGCAAACTTTATTAAAGAGTAAAGATATTAAGCGTATTTATACAAATATTAATGGATCGATTTGAAGTAATTGTCAACCCCCCATTATCTTCCTTCTACGAGGAAGAGAAAAACCTATTATACAATGTTACCAATCGCATTTATCTATACCGATACCACATGTAACTTCTCTAATAACATGGATATTAATAATGTACTCATTCATTATAAAAGGAACAGCATTAAAGTGATATATAAAAGAGCATGTGCAGCGGCTCGAATACTTTCCTCTCTGAACTCTTGAAACCTCACACAGTGTGCTTACCTATATTTTATTATTAGATAGTAAAAATTGCCAAATATATAATGACAATAAATTAATCATAAGTGATATTTTAAAACAGGAGAGAGAAATATAATCTTAAGTACGTTGCATTCTGTAATTGAAATGAAAGACTTGCATATTATTTAAGATATATAAGTGTCGCTCTTATACATATATACTACTCCTATACATATGTATGTATATGTATATGTGTGTATATATACAGAGTGAGGCATTTAAATTGAGACACTTGAATATCTTGAAAAGAAAGCATTTAAGAAAATTGATTTTACCATTATTTCCCCCTTTAGACAATACAATTTTCGCCTAAAACATTTTTTCTTAAATATTTTCTTTTCAAGATAACCAAGTGTCTCAATTTAAATGCTTTACCCTGTATATATGTACATATATATATACACACACATATAGATATATATCGTTAGCATGCACATGATTCTCGTGCATCTACACAATAAATTAATGAGACTATACCTTTATCACCGTACTTGATATAGAAAACCTTAATATATTAATGGTATAATGGTATAAATTATGTCTATTAATAATTATAGAAAATTTCAAGTTAAAATGACAGACAATAATTAACGGTAAAATATATTTAATATTAAAAGTTCTTAGAATTAAGGCAAAGAAAGGAAAAAAAATCAACAAAGAAACCGAATAACATATTTACGGTAAATGTACATCACTTGCTTGTTCCAACACTTCAACATATCTATCGAGCATATACTGCTATTTTTAACTTTAAGATTTAATTTGCGCCCCGCTTCTTTGTAATAGGACAGTATTTTATTTATAATATACGCGTGAGATATTTTGAAATAAATAAAAATGTATCGAGATCTACTATAATTATTCTTTCTACATATTTTGATATAATGTATACATAATTATTTGTGTGCGCATCTTTCTAGATAAATTATTGCGACATTTATGTATGCACAAAAATTTAATTTAAAAAATAAGTATATAACTGTGTTGATACACAAAATGTGTATTAAGTAGAGAAATGTATTATATTATATCTATTGATGACAATGCTTACGCGTGAACGCGTCATATAACGCAGGCATTAAATTTACTTTGTAGATTAAGGGTCGGCAGGAGACCCAGGCAAACTCAGGTACACTCAGGTGCACTTTATGCACTAAGTGCACGTTAAACTGCACTTTATTCCGTATTTTATTTATTATAAATTTTTAAGAGCAAAAATGCAAAATCGGGCTCTGTAGCTGACTGCATTATTATATAAAGAGTATATAAAAAAAAATTCACGAATCTATGTAACTTATTTTATGAGAAATCTTGTTATTACGAATTACGGATTCGTGAATTTTTTTATATATACTCTTTATATAATAATGCAGTCAGCTACAGAGCCCGATTTTGCATTTTTGCTCTTAAAAATTTATAATAAATAAAATACGGACTCGCAGCGAGTCGCAGCTAAGCCAACCCGACAGAGATCTCCACCGTGTCTCCTGCCGACCCTTAAGCAATAGTTTAGTTCTGTTAAAGTATAGAATACTATAGATCTAAGTATATCCTCAAAGACTTCGTGGTTGTTTCGTTATTGAATTTTCTTAATTTTACAGCATACAAAATACCAATTAAGCAATTATGTAAAATCGTTAAATGCTTATTGCTACATAAGCTGGCTCTCGCTATTAAGAATACGTTATATAAATTGATGACTAGAATTAATTGTTGTAAATCGAAGTGTATACATGTAAAAAATTACACTTAAAGAAATTAAAGGAACTAGTTAAAGCAACTATTACACGTATAGACAATACCACCTAATTTAAATATATAGATATATTGCGCATTTTCTGTCAACTTCTGTCTACCAATTCATAACATTATAAAAATTGAGTCAATTTTAACAAAAATTGTTATGATTTTTACATCTTAATTATCAAAATACTCTTGTTAATTAATGATTTGAAATTTTACTGCAGTAAGATCCACCGAAATTTTAAAAATGATAAAATTTGCATAGCCCAAATTTTCTGCTCATATGGTAATTTAGAAATTATCAGTAATATCATATTATTGAAGCTTTCATTTAAGCTTAATTTAATCTCTAATCAATATGAAGAAAAAGCGTAATGCTGACAGACTCTGTATATGTATGCTACATATTATAATGAACGTTCTCATACGTACGTGTACTCTGGATTATATTTTATTTATAAATATATGTCTCTCAAGAAATAAAATTTTACATTTTCTTTTTTCTGGCAATCTTCAATTTAACACTGAGCATGGAATTTTACAAAGTAATTTTTAGTACTCTATTTTCTAAGAACTTTTTGAACATCCAACTAAATGATTCACAAAATTGAAATAAATTCTACACTAATAGACTAATAACTCTTGCATTATTCAATAGACATTTATCATATTGCATTATACATTATGTTATTTTTCAGATAAAACAATTATATACCCTGTTAATATTCGATTTAATTTAATTTTTCTAAGTATTTAAGATAGGAACATTTATGATTTACAAGGATATTGTGGAATCTGAAACGGAAACGCATAAATAATAGCTGCTCATAAAGAGCTTTATTTAATCTGCATATAGATTTATATTTACATTTTGATAATATAATTTACGACGCCGCGTAATTTGTAAGAATAGTAAATGATAAAATTCTTATGTTATTTATAAAATCACCTCGCATGTGCATCTCAGTGTACATATATATCATATTAATATTTACAACATCGATTAAAAAAGCTGACTTGTACATTCCTCGCTATATACAGCGTTTCCTCCTGTCCTATACTCGGAATAGAAATAACAAACTACGATTGCGCTATTAGAACACATAATTTCTACACTCTCTGGAGAATATTTATTAGTTAATAAATTCTCTTTCACAATTTCATGTACTTCAAACACTTTCTAATTTGTCATTAATAACTATCTCGAATTTAATTTAATCGGTATAATAATCTTGCAATGTAAATTCCTTGCATTGCTACTGCGCTAGCTAGTTAATAGATCTTCGTAAAGAGATCTCTTCTTCGTTATTCTCCCTGACATGATCACGAAGTCGAAAACGGCAAAAATTACGCAAATTTATATAAAATTCACATGATAAGAGCGTCAATCTACAAAACTCTATTCGCATTTTGATTATTGTACTGCAACGTCGTAAAAATAATATGTATATCGACAGATGAGCGGAATAAATTGCAGCGATCTAGAAGATTACTTCGTGACTACTAAAATCACGCTTACAACAAAAGACTTAACATGATATTTGTTCTACCATTGGAGCGTAATTATGCGGTAAACTCATTTTTTTCTATACGAAATCAGAAAATCGTTATTTATTTCATCACGCGTTCAGAACGTTATACAAGCAAATTACTCACCCTGTATTTTAACTATTAGTGCAAATCCGCGCTCTCGATGAAAAGAAAAGAATGTATTGGTCAAACGCCATTCGGGGTTGGCGTGCTGTGAACTGGCGCCCGCAATAAATCGTGATATTGTAACAGAGCTTCCCGCAGGGACCTAGATACTTGACCAGAAGTAGTCGCGATCGTGCATTCCACTAAACATGGGTATAATCCAATCAGCTGCTCCCATACCGATCTTTCAACTAATATGTAAACAATCGTTTATTAAGTACATATAACGATGTTACTTCATACAAAATAAATGGGAAATAAAAACGCACCTTTATTGGGAGGCGCTTTTTTGAGCGATACTACAAGAGTGGCAACGGCTTTCAGAACAAACGATATCTCCGACAATCTGTACCTAGAAAAGGTTTCTATAATAAATACTTAAAATAACCTGCATTTTAAATATAAAATATTCATCAAAATGAAAAATCCGCTAAAATAAAATTAAAATTTCCAGTTTGTCAGAAGGCTTCGGTACTATTACCTAGGCAAAGGGCACTTTCCACTGCGTCTCTCGCTTTCAATGTATCGCCGTAGAACTTCTTGAAATCTGTGCAGAAGGGCTGTAACTGCCAAACGCCCGGCGATTCCACCCTCGTCACTTTCCGAACTATTTTTAGGACTATTTTCCGTGTCGTTGTTCAGTCCGTCTAATAGAGAAAATTGCAACAAAGTCTCGAAGCAAGTTTTCGCGAATTCTTCCCGTAACTTTGTCTCAGCTCCATTCTCTGTGGAAGAAAACAGCATCCCTTTTCATTGGAAAAATATTCAATTCATGAGCAGTTTTCGTAAACAGAGTTTAGATATTATACGTACCGATATTTGCTGTGGTAGCCGAATGTATGGAACCTTTATTTAAAAGCATAACGACTCTCAGTATAAATTGATGAGGTATGTGCTGAGAATGTGGTAACACTTCGTCCCTCAGTAACTCCATAACTTGGCAATCTACCGCCTCGTCAGCCTGGATCTCCTCTACACCCCGTTCTACATTCAGTACACTGCAATTGACCGAGCAAAATTCCACTTCTTACCATGCTTTCGAAGTAAATAAGATAAAGAATCCGTCAGAGACCTCATAGATTCATCAGAGAGGTGACAGTTTACCTTTTAGGGAACAAGAAATCGTCTAGCGTGCTCGCGAGCTCGAGCCACATGCTCTGGAACTGCTCGGGATATTTTCTGGCAAGCGGCAGCCCGGTGTGCAGGACGGCTAAGAGACTAGTCACGGCCAGTTTCCACGTGGTCGCGGATGGGCACGCGTATTTCATGGCTAGTGGCACGTGCAGCGCTTCCACGATATGCTTCAACACCTGACCGTCGATCACGGCCATCTCGTGCGCAGTCTTCTGGTACAGGCTCACGACCATCGACAGAGCTTTCTCGCCAAACGGAACGTAATTCATCGTGACCCAGTCAGCGGACGCACCCCTGACCTGGGAGATGTGCTTCGTGGGTATTTTACCGTAGGTCGGGGCTTCGCACGCCAGCTTTGAGAAGCTCAGCAACTGAAGGAATATCAGTACGATCATCATGCGCAAATTCTCCGGGCCGTTTAACGCTTCCTTTTGCAGGAGCTCCGTAGAATGCAGCACCTCGTCTTGCAAGTGAGTGAGAACTACGTCGGGCACCGACGGCAAGATGTACGGCGTTGATTCGCCGTGCACCGGAACGGCCACCGCATTCTTCAGGACGATACATAATTTTTGCAGATCGGGTCCGGTGAACCTGTTCCTAATGTGCTGAAAAACACCTGGGAATATATGCATCAGCGCAGTTAGGAATGCCTGGGACGGCACGTAAGGCTCCGTGTCGCCTTCCTGCGGAGGCGCGGTGCTCTCCATTCCAATATTGAGCCACACGCGCCACGTTACCGTCCATAAGCCTTCCGAGTCGTTCGACTGAATCACCTCAATACTGTCGCTTCCCTTCGGCTGAAAGAGGATCTCTTGGAATGATTTCAGTGCCGCTAACGATACCTCGTTGTTTTTACTGAGCGCCGAATTCTCGATGAATTCGAGAAGCAATGACCATGCTCGGGGAAAGTCCCCCAACATTTGCAACAATTGACGTTTCGTATTAAATACCCTGGCTACGCCACTTAACGTTAAAACCTGCGTTTCTGCCCATTGCTTTTGCGCTGTATTTCTGCTATGATGAATAAGTATGTTTCCACTTGTGTCGACCTTTTCGCTGCTAGCTGAGTTCGACAAGCTTCTCACTTTATCTAGCAGTGGAAACAATACTTGCCAGAGCACAGCCTGCCACGTCGGTTGATGCAAGAGACTACCGTGTGCGGATATGGTGGAGAATAGGGTTTGACTTGCCGATTTGCGTACAGCCGGTCGCGAATCGACGCATAGATCTCCCAGTCTTGCGTAGAGACACATCCAGAGTTTATCGAATGGTGGCATGTTCGTTGTACCAGGAAAGTCGGGGAATACTGATGACGAATCCCCGCGCAAGCAAACGCACAATTTTTCTTGGTTCTGATAGAAATAGTCGCTTATGTTCCACATTAGACCGACAGCTGTGAGCGAGATGTTCAGTTCTTGTGTCTGCGATCCAAATTTAGCAGCTGTATCGACGCACAGCGGAAGACATCGCCAAGGCATTACCGGTAGAAAGTCAGTTACAACTAACTGTAAACATTGGAAAGCTATGCGTACTAAAGTCTCCCCATGATGATCGGAAACCGCTCCTATAATACCGAGCACTAAAGGCCAGCCATGATACAGTGTCTCCCCAGCACCGTGAAGCACTTGCAAAACACATTCTAGCTGTCGCTGTCTAACGTCTCCGTGACGCACGGACGATAACTCGGACAATGGCCCTAGCAATAGCGTTTGCAATTTCTGATTGTCGCGAAGTGGCTGCGGGTATTTATGCTGAAGAGCCATCTTGACGAGATACGTAATCGCTTCCACGCCCCATTCTCTCATACGAATGTGCGGATGTTGACAAACTTCTAATAAATGGTTTGTTAATGGTCTCCAAAGTACTTCCACACGTGGTAAGTTGACTAGGCCTGTTTCTAAAAGTTTAGCAACGGCAAACAGGGAAGGTTCACGATTAGAATACGCCAGCTCCATAGCCTCGTGGCTCAGTTTGCACAGGGCATCTATCAAATGATGTAGAGCGACATCATCAAGATGCTGACTACTCTCGAATAATCTACTGAGCATAGCGCTGAGTACAGGTAAATCCGCCATAACCGCGTTCGTCAACACGGCGTTCGGATCAGCTGCGGTTCTTCCAGCTTTCAACGATCCGCCGGTAGAAGGTTTCAGACCAAGTATCCAAACGAGATGTTGAAGAGTAGTAAGTACCAAGTGCCATGCGCTACCGAGTATGCTACCGTGACAATGGGCCAACGACAACAGCGCACGCATGCATTGCAGATTTTTTGCGGTCAACATGACGGGACCTTGATGAGCACCTGAATGTAATTAATGTGATTTAATCGAATAATAGCGAGATGTACATAACTGATCGCATAAGCGAATTATTATCCTACCAATTGGTAACGATGCCGTTGGTAGTGGCGTGCCAACGGCCACTACTTGTTGCCTATAATCGGGTTCACCCATTGTCAAGTTGTATTGAATCGAGTCCTGCTGCCTCGCGGTTGGTATGCCTTGAGGTGCATTGTACAGTACAGTCAAGGCGTAATTAGGCGGTAGAGATGCTTTACATATCGCAGTAATAAAGGCATCGCGTGGTGCTTGCAAGTCCAATTGACCACAAAGAGACGCGAAGGTTTGAATTGCTTTTAAAACATTTTCTGTTGCCGATTCGTCCGTGCTGCAAATTTACAGATGCATTTGTACCCTCATATTTTTCGCATATTATATAAAATAGTAATAATTTATGCAAGACTGCTACCTGGCATCTATTAATGGGCTGAGAGCTGCCAATAAACCGCACCAACTAGAGTTTATCAATTGTACATGAAGTTTTCGTTCGGATTCGCTGGGCTGATAAATCTGAGTTTCGCCATTATCATCTTTCGACCCATTTATAGCCAATGCGATCGATCTTATAATGTCTAACAAGCATGCATAAGCTATACTGATTCCATAACCGATCGGTATTTGCGGCGGTTCGACTTTATCCAACATTTCCAAGCTGTGAAAGATAACTGTGCGTTATCATCAATCTTTAATGCTGTCATCGTTATCAAGAAAATGTAATATCATCATAAATTGCCTTACTAAGTTGGCTTAGCTTGTCCACTTGTAAATGTTGCCACTACTGGTAACCAAATACCGCGTGAATAAAAACCGGGTTGAGGCGATACGCCAGGCCCGATAGGCATTCCTGTGAATAATGGTGAACCTGTGTTTTGAGGCATAGTTGTACTTGCTGCTGTTAAAAACAAAGAATTGTCATATAGCATCCCAGAAGAATATACACATACTTCGAATAGTAATAAAAATGTGGAGGATTGAACATTATGCATGCAAAAAGACTTTGAAATAAACGGAACTATTAAAAATACAGCAAATAATATTATCAAGAAACATAGTAGTGTCTCGCGCCGTGTTAATTTTCAGCCGTTTATCGCGGTGATGTAATACATCTGTACCTGTCTGACTCATCATTTGTGGATTTACAAAGAGGCTATGTACATATGCGCCTAAGCTATTAACAATATCTTGAAAAATATTTGTAGCGTGTGGCTTCAAGTCATAACATTCACAGAAGTTTGTCAGCAAATCTGCTTGAACTGTCATTTTGTGCAAAACTTCCAACGCTAAAGCTCTTTGCCAGGTAGGTTTGTCAGGATCCAGAAACTTCACGATTAAGGATAAGAATATTTCACATTCTGTCACCTAAAGCATCGGAATGTGACTTTAACTTATGCTTACAATAAATACATCATTATGTGTAGATTCAGAAATATTTACCAATAAAGAATGATATTTCTGTATCAAAATCGATACAACTCGCAACAGCCTCATACTAATAGGAAAGTAAGGTTTATCTAAAGGTGTAGCTTGTTGCAAAGATGCTGGTACTGAATTACGATACTTGATGTTAGGCGAAAACAGTTTTATCACAAGTGCACACACTCTCTCCTTCAGTAAGAAGCTAAACTCTGAGTGCTAAAAAAATTATATTTTTATAATATATAATCTTACATAACTATATGAAAGATCTTGTTAAAATAATTTTCCTATCTCTTAAAAATACAAATCTCTCAGATCTTTACCTTAAAAAAGACCGATGAAAAGTTTGTTAAAACCGATTCTAGCAGTTCCAAACCGAAAGTTCTAGTCATTTCAGTAATGCCTATTAGCCAGTATGGTTGATCGGCATTCACCAATTGTATTAGATCCTAAAATCAAATACACAAAATAATAAACCATAATATTATATTCTATGTATAGATTTACATAATTACATAAGCATTACGTAAATAAAAAAACACCTGAAACATCAAATATGCATCTGCAGCGCAAGGGCCGAGACCTTTAGGCGCTTGATTTGTTGGAATTTTTAGTTCCTCTAAATTCACCTCATCAGACTCTGGCTGATCAGGATTCAGCTCATCCTCGGCAACTACTCTTTCAAACACCAAAGACACTAATTGCCTTACAGTAGCACCAGCTGTGTTTATCGTTGTACAGTCTTTTGTAAAATGTAACCGAAAACAAAGCACCAAGTTCTGAAAAGACATAATTTTAAATAAAATATCAAGGATGTTATTGAACAGAGATAAAAAGATATTGATAAAAAGAGATAAAAGGATACATAAATGGATCCTTACTCTCGCCAAGGTATCTCCATGCACCACGGCATTACTTGTAAGCAACAGCGTTACAGTCTGCAAAACTTTAACTTCCTCCGTACCTGATTCCATCAACAACCACAAAGTATCGGTAATATATCGAGCACCTTTCTGATCTACCGCTTGCTGCGTTATTAACCTCTGCATCATGCCCAGGCAAAACTGGAAAACAGTAAAAACTTGTATAATAACATTAATATATAAGATATATAAGATCTAATTTTTTTAAATTAAAGATATAAAGTATAGCTTCTCTGATACCTTGATGATTTTTATGTCTTTACTCTCACACCCTTGAACTAGAGGATAAAGTATTTGATTTACAATATAATATATTGGTGTCCCTGGGTTACTTGAGGCTGTTCTCAACTTAGCGATTCCTTCCTCGCATGACTGTAACAGATACAAGCCATGACAGCTACTATGTTCAAGCAGCAATATGCTATCTTCAGTATAAATTATTTTAATTCATTATTGTTACTATAATAAACAATAGCATAAGCTATTACATTCTATATCTTTCAATATAACTCGAATACACATACACACACCTCTGTCAGCTTCTAAACTTACAATATACAACTCCACATAGAATATACTAATATTCTATATGAAGAATATATATAGATTGTTATAGATCTTTAAGTTTCAAGTTTTAGTTTAAACTTCAATGAGAAACCAAATCAAGACCGAAACTAAACTTTTGGTTTCAAGGTCCAACTGATTTAAGATAAGACACATGACAGTCTCATGGCTACGTGGCTACGTACTTCCTTGATTTGCGGGTACTTCTTCTTGGTTTCTGAGGCGAGTACCTTGAGGTCCGACTGCAGGGCCTCCAAGAACTTGGAGGCGTTCTCCGGGTTGCCGCCGACGGCGGCGGCAGCGGTGTTCGCCATCGCTGACATCGCCACTGTTACTCGAGTCTCCCTAAATTGGCACGGTCTCTGAAACCGGGAGCATGACGACTCACTACCGAGAGGCTAAGCGCCACGGTGTTCAGCCGTCGAACGATGATCGAATTGGTATGCTTCGTCACGTCGATCGTCGGTGACGATAATGATAGCGGACAGGCGGTCCATCGAAATCACCCCTTTCGTCCAGTCGCCGTCGATTACATTAGACAGGCTGCTGCGGACGCTCGTAAGTCGCACGTGTCCAACGATTCTCGTTCGTGTACTCAAGATTCACGCAGCTACAACTGGCTAGTGACTACGACTAGGGCATGAGCCTCTTGGCCGCGATTGCACGATCGACATACAACTTGACCAAACTTGACTTGACACGATTGACATAAACTCCGGAGACCACGTAGGCACATATGCAGCCGCGCGGCGCTGCTGCGCTGTCAGCTGTCACCGCTAGGGATCCTCCAGGGATCCTCCAGGGCTGCGTTCAGAAACGTCACCTGGGTATACACGGGTATACTCCCTTCTCCTTCTAACTCGCTGAGATAGAAAGAGAAGGGAGTATACTCGTGTGCACTCGGGTGACGTTTCCGAACGCAGCCATATTCTGTTCCGCTAAAATCCGCTTAGGCCCGGTCTACAATGGATGTCGTAAGTCGGAGTCGTAAGAAATTGACCAATCACAATCTATTATTCTCCTTGCGGTCGAAGAATAATGAACTGTGATTGGTCAATTTCTTACGACTCCGACTTCCGACATCCATTGTAGACCGGGCCTTACCGACAATTGTCGGTGTCGTTGCGCAGCTTTACACGATATGAAAAACCTGCGCAACGACACTTATCGACGGGCCCTGGGCCCGTATTCCGTTCCTGCCTACCGACAACTGTCGGTTCGATAAGTGTCGTTGCGCAGGTTTTTCATATCGTGTAAAAGCTGCGCAACGACACCGACAATTGTCGGTAAGCGGATTTTAGCGGAACAGAATACGGCCCCAGGAAGGGATTGGACTAACCGTCGCCATTTGTCTCAAAACCGGAAGTGGTATGTTCAGCGGCAAAATTCAAACGTGTTTCGATGCAAATGTGTATATTTTATATAATTAGACATGATCGACGCGCGCTACGCGCGTGTTATTTAGCTTAATTGTACAATTCCTATTACATTATAGTAATAACTTAACCTATTGATACACAAACTGTCAAAACAAGTGATGATAACAACATTTAACAACATTTCTGCAGATCGCAGAAATGTTTCCAAATATTGACAAGGAAGTTATCAAATCAGTATATGATGCCAATCACGGCAAGAAAGACATTACAATTTATTCGTTGCTTCAGATGTGCGAATAAGTCCTAATTTTCTACGCAACTAGAATGCCATACGTAACTTTATCGTATCCTTCGTTAATGAACTTTTTTTTTCCTTTGAAATGTAAGATGATGTACGAAATTCTAATTTGTAATACTTCCATACGTAATAATATGTATATATTAAGGTCGAACATTCTTTGAATATGTGAAATGATGAAATATTTCTCTTCTGAAGAAACATATTATATTTTGAATTGAATATAACATTGAATTATTCTTACAATTAGTCAATTTTGTTACGTACCTATATATGTTATTGTTATTTCAGAGTTTATATTATCTTTTTCTCTCCTCATATTTTCATATACATGAGTATTTATTTATTTAATTGCATTATATATTACATGATTTACTGCAATGGTCTCTGTATGTAATTTAAATACATATTGCGCGTTCTACAAAATTGTAAAAAGATATACGCTTGATTAATAGTTGCACACATAAATTGTAATAAATATCAAATATACATAATTTGTACAATTATTCATATCGAAGAAATAGAATAAGCCGAAAGTGTCAGGGAATTTCAAAAATTTTATACATAAACAGCGAAACGACTGTAGCTACAGGAATAATTAACAGTGAATGTGTATTTCTTACTGTTGAGTTGCAGGGCATAGAGTTGTTTTTAGATTTACAGGCACACACTTCGATATTATATCCTTCAGTCACAATTTTTGGCAGTTATAGCATTTCATGCATTCCTTCTATCTACTGTATCAATTATGTGAATACCCACTGATATATAACACATCTATTTATTAAGGCGCGCAAGTAGATAAATATTCTTTTTCGTAGATAAACTAGATCTTAAATAGCTTTAAGTATTATAAGTAATTTGTTCGTTAGTAATTTCTTTTTCTTATGAGATTGCACCTCGTTAAAACTCATCGTGCCTCGCTAATGCCTCTCCGAAGTCCGTCGCCTGAGATCCGACAAAGATGTCGTATTTCTCCAAAATCTCGTTCTTCGTCAGCTTGTGATCCGCATCGGTGTCCGCTTCGTAAATCAAGTGCCTCGACTCCGCCTCGGCGTGATCAAATTCCGCGGGAATAATCCACGTTTTTACCTGTTTCAAATTGGAACAGATCAGTTTAATTATTTTTATATTACCACTAATAAATGTACTACTGTAATGTAATAAGATCTTACCATTATTTACGGGTATTTCTTCCTGTGCCTCTTGCGGATGTTTCATTAAAATTTTCATGAGCAGGAATATTCCTTGATTTATCATCTTCTTCAGATGTATTTACTGGTATCAGACGATCACCAAAAATAGTTGGAACTGCTGTAGATTTCAAGCGGCGTTTACCTCCCCGTGTTTTTTCCCACATCTCATCTGAGAAATGAATCTGAAAAAAAATTGAGCAATTTAATTAGAAAAATAAGAAATAACAATAAAATATAGATTATTTTTGTGTATTAAAACTTTGTTACTTTTGTTAATTCTATTTAGTCCTTAAAAATAATAAGTAATAGTTAATAGTAAAAATGATAAGTAGTAATTAATACTTATAGTGATCTTTTTTAAAAAATGCAAAGAACATTAACTTTTAAATAAGCAAAATTTATTTTAAAACTTTTTCTTATCATTAATATCCATTTCTACCAATGCAGATTAACTTTGACTTTGGCTTAACTTACCTTTTATCTTTCTCTAATTTTAAGAACTAGAAAAAGATTAAACCGTGATTAAAATTAATCTATATTGGTAAAAATAGACATAAGTCAAATAAATATATTATGTTTGTACCATACTTACTGAACACAATGTCGAACTCACTCCAGGAACCCAGTCTGCACGGTTAACATTAGCGATCCACAGTTTTCTTCTTTTCTCTTCTTGTGGGAAATCTACACATTTGGAAGCCTTTGCTTGATGAGTTCGTACAATAATCCGCACTGCAATCCGTCATATTTTTTTTTTTCTGTAAATAAAACATACGTATTTATAATGGGGGTTTTTTCTATGGTGTCCTCGGGTGAGGACGGTTAGGTGCCTTATTCACTCATGGAAATTGGCACATATAATCTAAACCTAAAAGATTTTGTGGCTCTAACACTAAATCACTTAATCCATAAGACTGAATAATTAAAAACTATATACTACTGAAAAAATTATTTGTATCTAGTGTTATATAACTTTGCCCGTAGATCTGACAAATTTGAAAATCTTATACAAAATGTCCCAGTTTTTTGTTTGTATGAGACGGTAAATGTCGATTTCTTCGGTAAAACCGGCCTCTCTCAGTTCAAGGTCCAAAGTGGCTCTTATTCGCTCGTCGTATTTACAACACCTCAACATTAAGGAGGCTCTTACCTCGATCATAAAACGACAGATCTTTATGAAATTAAATTATGTTGTAAAGTGAACCACAACGAACCGATGCCCAAAACTTTAGCATAAGTTGACGATAAAAATTTAAAAAATATCAGTATTGAAATTCGCATTTTTAACACAGGGCATATGGTAAACACTAAAATTTTTATCGGAAGTGATGTATTTTCTTGGCAAGTTTGCGAGCCAGGTAAACAAAAAACTAAGGAATTGTAGTTAAAATAATAATCTTTCTAATGATAAGAAGAAAACTTGGTGTTGACGATGAGTTATAAAAGATATTGTAGTTTTAATATGACGTACGACAGGTTAGGCGAATGATCTTCCGAGTGTCAAAATCGCGCGAAGTTTCTAACCTCACTTGCACATGTCTTTTCTCTGCGCTGTATGGTAGCGGCATAATTATTCTCTCGCGCATTGACATATTGCAACCTTTATTTTCGAGAATTTTCCTTTCATTTTCCCTCTCAACATTCTCACGTTATATCTTTCTTTTGGCTCCATCTCTTTATCGCATCAATCGCTACAATGCTACACGGCTACACCTCACTTTAGCTGCAGACTGCTACAGACGACGTTGTAACACGCGCATGTTATTATTCTGCTCTTTAGCACTGACGTAGTCAACTGACTTATTGTATAAATTTTAATATTTACACTAATAGAACATATAACTTACTCTTACACTATGTAAAAATCATCATTTATTTTTTTATTTAATTTTCCGATAATTTTATAACCAATTATTAATGATAATTTTTCGGTTGCTACATTGATTAGAGCAGCCGGGTAAGAGCCTCCTTAAATGATGAATATCTTCGCATTCACAGCCACACTCGCATCTCT